AAGAGTTTGAAGTGTTTCGCGCGTATTTTATGCAGCTTTGAAATGCAATTATTGTAGATAGTTGACTTTAATTATAAATTATCGTAGATGCATCAAATAAATTAGAATATATGTACTTTTGTGTGAAATTGACGTTGAATATTGCTTTAAATATCAACTTTATGTAGGTTGTTCATTAAACATTATATTCTTTACTTTTGTTTAGGCAACCCAAATAACAAACCAAATTTTATGTAACCATGACAATTTTGTCGATTTCAAATGTTATAAATAAAACAAGAAGCCATTATTGTATTAGATTTTAGGTTATGTTTATGTCAAACATTTATTTGGTGTTTTATAAACATCAAGGTCATCAGCTGCTATTAATTTTTAATTCACCGTCCAATAAGATAAAAGCGTACTCACCACGTGTTCACGCATGTCTCTTATGTAGACGGGGGCACGACAGAGACAGATATATATATATCTGCACTTTAGTGTTTACACTCTTTTGCTGCCTTAGTCAGCGATATAGAAGATAGTATATATATGAGTTTATTGTTAAAGTTCTTTTTAATAAATTAATGTAAAAACATTCTAGTAAGAATAAAGTGTTTAGTTCGAACGCCAAACTTTCATTTAGAAGCAGTCTTAGCAATTTTAACAGAAAAAAGTCCTAATTGATTTATTCAATTAGCAAGGCAATTTTTGGTTCTCTGTTATAAAAAAAGGACAGATATTTTTTTAAATATTTAGATGTAATGTGTAATGTAATTAAATATTTTATATGTTAAACAATTTCGTGTTCAATCACATAAATTCTTGATCACATAAAAATTGTTCTTTTATTCTGAGTATGCAACTTCTACTACAAGTTGGATTTCCAATTGTATTCAATGAATCAGTGACGTCATTCTGCGGGGTAATAATCGACACTACAGAGCTACAGAGGCATAGAGAATTAGGTAACCTTATGTTCTATAGACCTTGGGTAAAGTCTGATAAGTTTATCAGTCATAATGGCAGTTAATAAAAATAAATCGAAGAAAAGAATTCTAATTCCCACAGAAAATTGAGAAAAAATAATAAATTCAAAAGAATAATCGAATCGTTCGATGAAAATAAAGAAATAAATTCTAAAATGAACTTTAAATAAAATAAAGTATAAATCAAAAAAGATTTAATTCAAACTCTTTTAGTCAGTATGTAAATGAGAAAATAAATGTTCAAAATAAAACAAAATAAGAACTTTTATTCTAGTTCTTCGCCAAAACATAATAATAGATTTGTTAGAAATGTGCTACCATTATTATTAGTAAACTTTGGTCGAAATTAAGAATAATAAAGGACTAGGATAAAATAAACACATTTTAAATGTAAGATATATTTAATAAACCAAATAAAGAAAATACATTTTTTTATCTGCGCCTATTATTTAAATACGTTCTTTTTTGATGAAATAATAGATGAAAAAAATGAACAATTACCACAAATAAAAAATTGGGTCAGTCTCAAACTTAAATGATTATAAACTTCTATCAACTTAAACGGTGAAGAAAGTAAGAAATGGCAGAGATATATCTGAAGCCCAGGTATCACACGTTTTCAACAAGAATTTGAAAACAAAAAAAAAATTGAAAAGAAATGTTATCCAATATGAGTGTTGTCTTTTTTTCTGTTGCATCCACAATTCATTACTCAAAAAAACACAAAATTTTCACTGTTTCTACCGAACAAATTTTTAAAAATTTTTCAAAACGGTCTAACTACAAGTTCTTTATTACACAACATATTTTTTAACAAAGATCCTGTAATCAATACGAACCTTTTTTTCAATTGAAAAAGATTAAATTTACAACTTGCATTATTAATAATTTTTTTGTTAAGATCCATCCGTTTGGAACTACAACCTACGACGTGAACTGCCATATTATATACAATTACACCAGTATTGCATTTGATAAACAGGACAGGAGGTACATTTGTGCTTATTTACCGATATATAAATAAATATTAAATTAGATTTTATTACACAAGTGGTTAACCAGGGATAATAACTGCTGTTATTTGTTTTTTATTTTTCTCTTTGAATCAACGATTGCGTGCTATGGTTTGTATTTATTTTTTTTTATATCCTGGTGTCGGGTTGATTATTGCGGATGTCGCGGGAAGCTCTATTTAATTCTAAAATAATTTAACCAAATTGGAATGAAAATCCAGGGAAAGCGCCACCTTGGAAACTGTATTCGCCACCGTGTCCGCCTCCGCCACTGAAGAATGTTTGGAATACTTGGCTGGGATCAAAATCTAAACAAAAATAATATAATGTAAAAATAATTATTAACATATACAGAATACATTTTTGTTGATTTTTAACAATATTGACTAACAGATATGCCACGATAACTATCCTCTTATTTCTAGATTTATACTTTAGACAATTATGAGCAGCCTCAAGTATATTAATTAAATCCATGTTTAATGTATAACTTTTATAAAACATATTCTTTTAACTAACTGTTTAAATGTACGAATGATACTTGAGAATGATCTTTTTGAATTAGGTACATTTTAGACTTTCAACTAACAAGTCTTTTGTGGCGTTGATACTAGGAATCAACAATTCATGTTAATGTTACTCAAAAACGTGTAGTGAAACTTTGAAACTAAAGTTTCAAGAAATTATCTCTTAACACACAACGAATTGAGGATAAAGCAAAACCTATTTTCAACACAGATCACAATAAAAATCGTGTTTCTAGGAAGCATAGGGACAATGTTGCATAATAACAAACCGAACCTAACAGGGCAAATCACACCAGAAGAAATATTGGATTCTTAACATCTGCCAACATAGAATCGAAACATAATGTCGAGTTAGAAAACATTACAATGAGAAGACTATTACAAAAAACACTCGGACGGAACTCTTGTTATGTTAAAACAGCGGAATTCCGAGAGCACTTTTTTAATTCAAGTTGACGGTTGCGCTCCTTACTGGTCATCTTAGAAACCTGAAAATAATTCTCCACTTTAGTCATTACATTTTTATACAGCAAGTCTCTACAATAAGTAGTTTCCGAAATACAGTACTATGCACGCTTATTTGGCCTGTATATAAATCGCATATTTAACTTTGTTTTCAGTTAACTTTTCAATTTGATTGAATTCGCGATAATCATGCAATTAACATTAAAAACGTTAAATTTGAAGATTGTTTCATTACATTTTTTAGTTAAAATCGGTTGGTCCAAAGCTAGTTCCATTTTTAAAAACTGTCGAGATTTATTTCGTGATTTACATCCTTTTTGGTCAACCTAGCATTACAGCGACAACTTTAAAATGTTTACCCATTATAAGTTTGATGATCTTCGTTGTTCTTTACGCCACAACTTTGGAGCAAAGGTAAATGTAAATCGTATGGAATCAATTCGATACAAATTTGGGAATATTTTTCCAGAAAAAAGGCCTATTATATTTTTTGAGATAAAATTGAAATGTACAGAGGTCCCAAAATTGAGATACCATGCCTAAGTTCACACTTTTAAATAGGAATCGCCATTTTTTGTTACATTTATGGATTTTACATAAAATTCTGATATTCAGCAGTCTTCGAAAAAATAGCAGTTAAAAGATACTGTTACTATTTTATTTCGAGGAAAAGACAACATGGCTTTATCTAACATTATAATTAATAAGAAACAATAATTTTCTACTTAATTAAATGTTGAAACTGAAAGCCTTCTTGTGTCTGGATGAATTCATGCTGGATCCTAATAATTGTTTCTTGACTAATGTCAAAACATTCTCTTCTAATTCTAATTTTTAAATCATCAAGCGATTCATGCTTAGTCTCGTACACAAGATTTTTGAGATTCTTTTACTTTGATAGCAGCATTCAAACGTCTAAAATCGATAGAAAAACGGTAAAAATTCTGTTTCTTAGGAGAATACGAAAAGACCATGCGCTGGACAAAGGCTCTATAACATCCTAAACTATCATATCATTAAGCTTTCATCACGAAGAGTGTTCTCAAGTTTTACAAGTACGTTAAGTAAGGACTTACTTATAAAAAATCTAATAAATAAAACACAAAAATTAAATTAAATAAAAATAAAACAACAAAACCGTTACAAGATGTTAAGAAGTTCGAAAACGGCAAAGTAACCTACTGGCGTAGTTAACATCAGAATGTTAACTAACGATAGAATCTGATATCTTAAGGACTATATCAACCTGTATGTGGAACGAAAAATTTATATAATGCCAATAAATTTGGCATAATTACCCACAAGACGTTTTCATTGGGAAATAAAAGATACTAATCTCTAAAGGATCTACAGGGTGTACAAAAAGTATGGAATAATGGTTCTACAGCCTAAACTTCAACTCATATTAAAAAAAGTACTATTTTCCGCATATCTTGGCGTAGAAATGAAATAAAAATCTTGACGGCAGTCTGAGTTACGACATGGTGAGTGTGTTTTTTAAATGGAACACACTGTATATTTTAAGGTTTTTGGATTGCTTTTGACAAGGTGTTGCAAAATGCCATAAGGTTTTAATGCTTTAAACTGCATAGTTTTCGAGATATTGAAACTTTTATTTAGCCTTTGACGTCACAGAGGCGGGCGGAGCTTATACCACAGTTGCTAAGATGAAACGCCATAAAAATGTCATCTAAAATGTCACTTAGTTTATTTTATTTTAAGACTAATAGACAACCTAAGTCTTGACGTCATAGAGATGGGCGGAGCTTATACCGACTCCAAACATTTTCGTTGCTAATAGACAACCTAAGCCTTGACGTCACAGAGATGGGCGGAGCTTATACTGACTCCAAACATTTTCGTTGCTAACGGTAAATCACCATATGCAATTTTCAATTATTAGTGTTAAAATAAAATAAATTAAGTGATGACATTTTTTGGCGATTTATCGTTAGCAACGAAGATGTTTGGAGTCAGTATAGGCTTCGCCCATCTCTGTGACGTCAAGGCTTAGGTTGTCTATTCCATAATGACGCCATAACTTGGTTGTCGCTACATCAAATCTTTTTAAATAAAAGTTACAATATCTCGAAAACTATGCAGTTTAAAGCATTAAAACCTTATGGCACCTTGCAACACCTTGTCAAAAGGAATCCAAAAACCTTAAAATATACAGGGTGTTCTATTTAAAACACACACATTTTTATTTTATTTCTACGCCAAGATATGCGGAAAATAGTTTCAAGTAACTTTTATTTAAAACTTTTTTAATATAAGTTGAAGTTTAGGCTGTTGAACCATTATTCTATACTTTTTGTACACCTGTATATTGACACTATTAATGATGCCCGCGAAAAAATATCAAAAAAATAGTAACTCCCTGGAGAGATTTTACAACACCCATAGAACGATAGCTTCATTAATCATCGCAGGTGATTTAATCGCAGGTATAATTGGAGTATTATACGATGAGTCCCAAAAGAAAATAATAGCATAACTAGCGAACCAGGAATCTAGAACTAATCGTCTAAACCCTTGGTTCACTCCAAGGGTGGAGGAGTTAATGTACTTCCAATTAAAAGCTATATACCATTTAATTAAAAAACGAAATCATGTTGAAACTGAAGTAATTCATTTATAAAATAAAATCACTAATTGTAAGTCTAACTTGAATATAAAGAAAATATTTTTTAATTTATCTGAGGATGATCATAATTGACCAAAATTAGTACTAACTACCTACATAAGAATAAACATAGACTTAAGAGTGAAATAATGTTTATGTACATTGTATTATGTCTCAGAATAAAAGATATACTTAATACTTATTTGTACCAAACGAATATTAATAATTTATGTTGTCACAAAAAAATCTTTCAATTCCATTTAGTGATTGGATTTCTATAATTTATATTATTACTATTGACACTTCTAAAACACTGTGTATGTTAAAACGTACTTGTAAAACTCATTGGTAGTATTAATTTTTTATTCTCATAAAACATTTAAATAACTCAACCCATCCCAAAAACTCAAATTAAAAACATATCGTTTATAAAAATTTACTGTCGACCCTATAAATAATACATTGTGACATTACATATTTTTAACGCGATTCCCAAAAATATTCGACACGCTTTTTTACCGTTTTTTTAGATCATTTCTAAACTTACCGGGCATTCCATCAAAACCGTCATCCAAATCCTGACCGCTATCGTACCTCGCCTTCTTTTTCGAATCCGACAAAATCCCGTAAGCTTCGCCCAGTTCCTTAAATTTCTTCTCCTGTTCTTTTTTCTCCGCATCGGAAGCGTTCGCGTGTCGATCCGGATGATGAACCAAAGCTCTCTTACGATACGCTTTCTTTATTTCATCTTCGGTCGCGTTACGTTCCACCCCCAATATCTTATAATAATCTTTGCGTTTCGATTTTTTTAACGCTAACTTTGCGTCGTTCAGTAATCGTTTATGTTCTCTGTTTTTATCCATTTTACAAGCTTTCTCATAGTCTTTAACGGCCTCTTCGTATTCACCTAAATCCATGTAACATTTAGCTCGTCGAAGAAGTGCTTTTAAATAATTATCATCCAATTTTAACGCTGAGGTACAGTCGGAAACGGCATCGGCTAATTTATTTAATTTTGAGTAAACTGTTGCTCTATTGAAATAAAGTTTTGCGTTTGTTTTCTTATTAAATGGATCCACTTTTAAAGCTTCGGTATATAAATTAAGAGCATCTTGGAATCGACAATTTTTAAACGCATCGTTTCCTTCGTCTTTTTTCTTCTTGAGCAATTTCGCGCGTTTATAAAGATCCATAGCTTTTTTATGATCAGGGGCCAATCGTAAAACTTGCATAAAATGTTGACAAGCGCTGTCGATGTTATCTTCGTAAAACATACACATTCCGCGGACGTAAATCGCATCAGCATTTCCCTTATCAATGTGTAAAATTCCGTTAACCAATTCTTGAGCTTCTTCGTATCGCCCTAAATAAGCCAGACATTCTCCTTTAGTCGTTTTATATTTGCAACAATTGGGTGCTTGGCTCAAACAACGATCCATACAATAAACAACAGTACGAAAATCTTGTTTATTGTAAGCTTTGAGAGCGTCAGCTTCGAACTTTTTTAATGTTTCTAAACTGGCCAATTCGTTTTTAATCGTAGCATTATTATCTGGTTCCATAATTTTAATATGTTTTACTGCTTGATCGGCAGTCATTACATCCCCTAAAGCAATTCCGCATTTTAATATACGAATGTAACCTTTCACGAAAGCCGAATCTAGCTGCACTGATTTTCGAGCGTCTTCCAATGCGTCGTGGTAACGATTCAACATCATATAACAAGCGGATCGATTGCCATAATATGCTGGTATATCCGGACATAGCTCAATTGCTTCTGTGTACAATGGCAGTGCCTGACGATACTGTTTTAATTTGTACTGTTGGTTACCACTTTCTTTCTTCAATTCAGCAAGTCTAAAACAACAAAAGAAGGAATGTTAAAAAATGTAATGGTAAAAGTATTATTTTAATTTATTTTCAACGTACGATTCAATGAAACCGTTTACGCCATTATCGGTTCTATTGTTGGGTTGAGTACAAGGCAGGAGAGAAGACATTTGTGGATCTGGACGGTTGGGAACAAGATAATTTTTACCGTTTTGACATATGATTTTGATATTGACAGTTTAAGATAAATTCAAAGTTTTTTGTTTTTATCAATGTTTATAGTAAATAAGAAAAAATGATTTGATAAATATAAATTAACCCTTATCATCGGGTGACCTGTAGACGGACCCTAAATATATACTTATCTTGAATAGGAATAAAAAGATTTGCTTCTTGATAACTTCAATTTCTTTCATTTTTATAACAATTTAGTATAAAATTTCCTAAATGTTGATCGGTTAATATTTAGAAAATATTTTTATGTAAAGTACAAATGCAAGAACCACATTGAACACCGTCTGAGTGATTGGCCCACTTTTACCACCTCTAGTTAAAGTGGTTGTTAACTTTAACTAATGGTTAGCGCAAAAATCGGCTTTTACCACGATATTTACCTTGTTGATAGCGCTAACTAATAGTTATTTTCGGTCCACCCGTAACTATCGGTTTGGGGGTCGGGTTAAATATTTACCTCATTGATAAATTTGGTTGAAGGTATTTTTAACCAGATGGCGTAACATAAATCTAACCTAAAATCATAATAAACGCTTACGTTCGCTCAAAACTCCATAATAGAGATTAAAACGGTGTTATTGTCGTGTTATAACAGTCTTGCACAGCGATAGAATAAAAAATCATGGATTTCGAAAGGTTTGAAATTGATGAGCAAGAAATCTTGAAGAAAATTAATTATCTATTTCCCATTCGGGGTGGACGCGTAATAAAAGAGAGTCTTTTTCTTTTCTTCATTTTTTTATCTCCACTTCTTTTTTCAATTTTATCACTTCCGTCTCTTTCCTTCTCATTTTCTAACATTAATGTTGTTAACTCTAATCTTTTCTTTAATAACTCATTATAGTTATCGTGGACAGCTTTATAGGACACTACACCATATAAAGCAGATCAATTTTTTATAGATACATCATAGTAGGTTTGTTAGTATTTTGATTGTACTTTTATTTTTCCTTGTTGTTTGCAAAACCCAAACGTTATTTTCCATGTACTAACGTGGTTATTTTTATTCTCGAGGACATTTTTATAATCCGCCACCAAGTCAAGTAAAAGTGTTATTTCTTCAGGTTTAACATTTGCCTCCCGAATACGCTTTTCGGCCTAATTTGCGGTTTTTATTTTTTCGTGGTCGTTAATTGCCGCTAACAGAACTGACAGGTTTATGAGAATGAATTACTCACGAATTACTGACCATTACCGACGGACAAAGGAGATAGAAACCTGTAATACCTCTTTTACACGTAGTCACCAACAGTCATTATAATTGTAGTACTATTAAAACAAGCTATAATAATATTCCCCTAGATTTTTCGTTAACTACTAGATAGCTCCTATCCATTAATTAGATCGAAATAGTAAAAGTCGTTTCGCAGTTAACTAATAGATAAACGTTATCCGATAGTTAGACTAACGACCAGTTTAACTAGAGGTGGTAAAAGCGGGCCTTAGTTAGCTACTTAAACATAATAAATTGTTGACAATAGTAAAACTGTTTATTGGGAATAATTCAAGAAGAGCATTTTGTCCTAAAAATCGTAATATGCCGATATTTCCCAAAACCAATTTATGGAATAAGTTAGATGGAGTTTTTTGATCGTATATTTCCCAAAACTGCAATATTGTAAATTGAAAACATCATAACAATTCATCACAATCCGGAACAGGAAACCTATGTACCAAGTCTCCTGCTCGGATGAATGAACATTGGGGACATAATTCAGCTAGAACTACTACAAGAAAGAAGTGGAAAAGAAAGGCCTACTCTCGAAGCATAAATTTGCATTCAGGGATAGAGGAGAATTACAGAAAGCTGCAAATCACGCCAGCACATTGTTTAGCAAAGATGATCGACGCCAACCTGCAGGGAAACATAAAAAGAACAAACCAAACGATGGATTTACAACACAGACAAATACAATCATCATCATCTGTGGGGCTACAGCATCATTTTTGAGCCTTGGCCTCCTCTAAGAATTTCTAGAGGTTTCATAACAGTGTTTTTCCGACGTAGAAAAAAAACCGAAGTATCTATTTGGGATGAGAGACAATAAAGGAAGTGTATCAGCTGCGCATCCCAATCTATGTTCTTGTCTATCTTCTCTGCTATATAATACAGCATATATCCTTCCACAACATTATCCTTTTACAGCATTAGCAAAGTAATATAGGAATATTGGAAAAACTGAAAACAAGTTTCGCGGCTGAATATGCCAAAACTGAATCAATACTTAATACCTTGAATATAAATATTGAAGAATTGAAGAAAACTTCGATAGAGATTCCGAAACTTACGGGAGAAAGAGGGAAAATAAGTTACAAACTAAAATAAGGATCCGTATTACCAAACTTAATGTTTCCTAAGAAGTCGCAAATCGTGAAGAAATTGATATGGTTCAAAAACAGAACTCTGTGTTCAGCAAGGAATGGTCCTTACTATGTCAGGAACGTAAATATGTTGAAAGCAATGGACAAGAATGAGTTGTGTGGCATTCTCCCCACTACTTTGTAGGAAATGTACTGGTTTAAACTGATGCCAAAAATTATACATATTTAATTCTCGTTTCTATCCTTCCAACATTCCATCAGTATTGCTTTCCGTCATTATTGAATAAACACAAATTTGTCATATGCGCATTATCGCAATTAAAGAAAAAACCGCAAGGGAAATATTAGGTACCAAAACTACACACTGTTAAACAGCGGAAGAGACAAATACCAAAAGGCGAAGTGAAGAAATACTTGTACATGAACGATTTGAGTAACTCATAAAAGAAGTGCAGTACTCGAATAGCAACATTTTGTTCTACTGCGCCCACGTTTCTGAAATTTTGTTTGTATGTGATGAACATGTCCCCATCTTTCACCTAAAATATTTTCAAGATGGTCACCAATTCCGGTCCTCTGGAAATAGAACAAAGTAGTTGTTGAACCAATTTATAACAGGCTAGCCGTCATTCTTTTTTGTAACTAAAATAATATTGCTCATAGAACTTTCCTAAACCAAAAATTTAACACAATATTACCTTTTTAGCTATAAAAAATAAACAATACAAATTATCCTCAAAATCTCAATCTAACACAACTATTTAAGTTGAAGTACAAAACGAGATTAAAAAAATGTGATCATAAAACTCGGGTATTTCCCGTAATAGACCAAGTTACTAACACATACACCGATCGACTTTTGATTTGATGACTGTATTCCCCATTTATAGTTTATTACTGTATACAAAAGTTTCTGTAAGACACTGTCAAAATTAGAACTAAAATCTTTTTTTTTTATTCGTTTTAGAACAAAAGGCTTTTGTAAAAAAGTGTATTTATTGTTAGAAGAGAAACTGACGAGGACAAAATAAAGAGAGCAAACGCTAAATTGATTATAACCATTAAAAAATTCCCCCATTTACATATTTAAAAAAAAACTAATCTCCATTCGACCAGGAAAACTAGGTGATTTGCATCATATTCATCATTTGCATGCTCGCGGAATATTCCGCGCATGCTGATGGAAGCTTTTACGGTGTGCGGAATATTCCGCGCTTTGATGCAACTAACATTAGGTTAATGGTACAATGGAAGAAACAATTTCATCTTCTGTGTAACACTTATGAATTGGGTGATATTACAACAAAAATTGTGTTTGACCCAATAGAATAAATTTAAGAAAAAATTTCGGGTCAAACAAGTGGCAGCAAAAGGCATATGTTTATTACCATGATAAAGTAATGAAAGGAAATCAAGCTCAAGTCCCAGAAGAAGAATTAATAAATTATTTAATTTAATTCCCTATAAAACATAAAACCATGTGCGTATGCAAAGTTTAGTTTACGGTTTCAGATTTCGTGGATGGATTTAAGAAAATTACTTTAAGAAAAAATATATTTAAGCGCGTATTCAAGATTTATGGAATGGAAGATGAAAAAGACATGCAGTTCTTTGTCGGAGACGGTTATTGGTTTATTTTTGAAACTGGCATAACAACAAAAGGCATCAACAGTGTGATCGAATTATTCAATGATTAAAAGTATGTTACAATCCAATAATAACGTAGCCATTTCAAAATATTTTAAACTAATTACGTTTCTGAAACCAAATGGAAAAGGTTACACGCCCAAGAAAGCAGCGATTTTTACGAGTACACAAATTAGTGACTTTTTAAATAATGCTCGCGATGAAGTTTATTTAATGGCCAAGGCTGTTGTTGTATTTGGGATTGCAGGAGCTTGTCGAATTTGTAAAAACAGCCAGGTAACATTAGATGATATTGAAGATTCAGGAACGTTATTAAATGTGAAACTTAATCAAATAAAGAATGATATAAACAGGAGATTTATAGTTACTGAAGAATATATTAAATTTTACCGAATGTACGTAGCCCTTCGTCCAGCAGCAACAAAAGATGGAATGGAAAATGTATTAATCAGGTTGTGGGTAAAAATCAGTTTTATAAGGTACCTCAAACAGTAGCTAAATTTATTCAACATAAAAATGCTAACTCATATACAGGTCATTCATTTCGAAGGTCGTCTGCTACACTTTTAGTTAAATCTGGGGGAGACTTGATGACACTAAAGAAACATGGCTGTTGGAAGTTATCAACGGTCGCTGAAGGGTGTGTTGTCGGTAGCAAACAGGGCACGAATAGCTAATGAAGTGTTTAGAACGTATGGCAGTGCAGAAATAACACCCGATTTGCGACTAGGTACATCAACAGCAGTTGTGTTTATCGCAAAAAAAAATATATAATTTCAATACCAGAAAATTCGACTATATTACCAAATAGTTCAAGGAACATG